TTATTCTAGGCACTTCAGTCACCATTACCAGCAATCACTGGCTATCCGCTTGAGCCGGCCTTGAAATTAATACACTAGCGTTCATCCCCCTAATGACTAAAACTCCTCACCCACGATCTATCGAAGCGGCTACTAAATATTTTTTAACCCAATCCTCAGCCTCCGCCTTACTATTATTCTCTACTCTTGTTAACGCCTTATACTCAGGAGAATGGTCTATTACTTCACTTACGGGATTACCCGCTATTCCTCTATCAATCGCTCTAATAACAAAGCTAGGGCTAGCCCCCCTACACTTTTGACTACCAGATGTTCTTCAAGGCATTCCTCTCTCTACTGGGCTAATTCTTTCCACCTGACAAAAAGTAGCCCCCCAATAACCCTGCTTGTACAAATTTCCAATTCAATCAACCTAAACCTACTCATGTTAATTGGCCTTCTATCTCTCTTAATCGGGGGGTGAGGAGGAATTGGACAAACACAAATACGAAAAATTATAGCTTTTTCTTCAATCGGCCACCTAGGCTGAATAATTATTGTTTTAAAATTCAACCCACAACTAACTCTGTTTAACTTCCTAATTTACATTATCATAACAACAGCCATATTCTCTGCTTTAATCACTGTGGCCTCAATGAATATAGCCCAAATTTCCACCTCCTGAACTAAATCCCCAGCCATCATAACAACCACCATATTAACACTGTTATCATTAGCCGGCCTCCCCCCCCCCCCCCCTAACCGGATTTTCCCCTAAACTCCTGATTATTTTAGAACTTGTTAAACAAGAAGCTATTATAATATCAGCCTTAACGGCACTAATTTCACTCTTATCCCTATTCTTTTATCTACGCCTTACCTACATTATAATTTTAACTCTCTCCCCCCCATACCTCAAACTCTCAATCTTATTGACAGTCAATTATCTCAATTAAATTTTTCACACCGATAATGCTAATCCCTGCTCTAATGTTGCTACCAACCGCCTCCACACTATTAGCATTGATCTAGAAACTTAGGCTAATACAGACCAAAGGCCTTCAAAGCTTAAGTGAAGACTAACTTCCTTCAGTTTCTGCAGGGCTTGCAGGATATTAACCTACATCTCCTAAATGCAACTTAGGCTCTTTTAGTTAAGACAAAACCCTCTAGAATGACGGGCCTCGATCCCGCGACTTTTTAGTTAACAGCTAAACACTCAATCCAGCGAGCTTCATTCTACTTCTCCCGTCTGGTAAAAAAACGGGAGAAGCCCCGGCAGGTTTCACCCTGCTTCTTGAGGTTTGCAACCTCATGTGCTAACACTTCAGGGCCTGGTAAAGAGAGGGCTCAAACCTCTGTCTTTGGGGCTACAACCCACCACCTGCTCGGCCACTTTACCTGTGATAATTACCCGTTGATTCTTCTCGACTAACCATAAAGATATCGGAACCTTGTACCTGATTTTTGGCGCTTGGGCCGGTATAATCGGAACTGCCCTCAGCCTACTAATCCGGGCGGAACTAAGCCAACCCGGGACTTTCCTCGGAGATGATCAAATCTACAATGTAGTAGTTACCGCTCATGCTTTTTGTCATAATTTTTTTTTTAGTAATAATGCCCATTTTAATCGGGGGCTTCGGAACTGACTAGTTCCTTTAATGATCGGGGCCCCTGACATGGCATTTCCCCGAATAAACAATATGAGCTTTTGACTCCTCCCCCCCCTCTTTTTTTCTACTATTAGCCTCTTCCTTTGTAGAAGCAGGAGTAGGAACGGGCTGAACAGTCTACCCCCCACTAGCGGGCAACCTCGCCCACGCAGGGGCATCAGTAGACCTTGCCATTTTTTCCCTTCATCTGGCCGGCGTTTCATCCATCTTGGGGGCTATTAATTTTATTACAACAATTATTAATATAAAACCTCCGTCAACTACGCAATACCAAACACCCCTTTTTGTCTGATCTGTTCTTATTACCGCTGTATTACTACTTCTTTCGTTGCCAGTACTAGCTGCAGGAATCACCATGCTCCTAACAGACCGAAATTTAAATACAACTTTTTTTGACCCCGCGGGAGGAGGGGACCCAGTCCTCTACCAACACTTATTCTGATTCTTCGGCCATCCGGAAGTCTATATTTTGATTCTACCCGGTTTCGGTATCATTTCACACGTAGTGGCATACTACTCAAATAAAAAAGAACCCTTTGGTTATATGGGGATAGTATGAGCCATGCTTTCCATCGGCCTACTAGGTTTTATTGTATGAGCCCACCACATATTCACTACCGACTTAAACGTTGACACCCGAGCCTACTTCACATCAGCAACAATAATTATTGCTATCCCTACAGGAGTTAAGGTATTTAGCTGACTAGCCACAATGCATGGAGGGACTATCAAATGAGAAGCCCCTATGTTATGAGCCTTAGGGTTTATTTTCCTTTTTACCGTCGGAGGGCTAACCGGCATCGTACTAGCTAACTCATCCATTGATATTGTCTTACATGACACTTATTATGTAGTAGCTCATTTCCACTACGTCTTATCCATGGGGGCAGTGTTTGCCATTCTTGCAGGGTTTGTTCACTGATTCCCCCTATTTACAGGATTCACTCTTCATCAATTATGAGCCAAAGTCCATTTTGCTGTTATATTCGTAGGGGTAAATTTAACGTTCTTCCCACAACACTTCTTAGGCTTGGCCGGCATACCACGACGATACTCAGATTATCCAGATGCTTACACCCTCTGAAACACTGTATCCTCAATCGGCTCCGCCATTTCTTTTGTGGCTGTAATTATAATGATCTATATAATCTGAGAGGCTTTTGCCTCCAAACGTTTATTTACGGGGCCTGAGCTTACTAACACAAATATTGAGTGAGCCTTAAACTCTCCCCCACACTACCACACCTTTGAAGAACCAATTTATTCAATAAACCTTACACGAGAAAGGGAGGAATCGAACCCCCATACTCTGGTTTCAAGCCAGTCACATGACCACTCTGTCACTTTCTTAGATGGGTTAGTTAATATATAACAATGTCTTGTCAAGACATAGTCGCAAGTTAAACTCTTGCACTCATCTATGGCCCACTCCGCTCAATTAGGATTTCAAAACGCAGCCTCCCCTATTATAGAAGAGTTACTCCACTTTCACGACCACGCTCTAATAGCCGCTTTACTAATCAGTGCCGTTGTCTTATATATTATTACAGCTTTAATAACAACCAAACTTCATAATACCCGAATTGTAGACGCCCAAGAAATTGAGTTAGTATGAACAATTCTCCCCCTAGTAATTCTTATTATAATTGCATTACCCTCTTTACGCATTTTATATTTGATAGACGAAATTAATGTTCCTGATGTAACAATCAAAGCCATCGGCCATCAGTGATACTGAAGCTATGAGTACTCTGATTTCGCTAATATTATTTTTGACTCATACATAATCCCCTCAAAAGACCTAGACCCAGGCCACTTCCGCCTACTAGAAGTCGACAACCGTATTATTACCCCCATTGGATCTATAATGCGAGTCCTAGTTACAGCAGATTGAGCAGTCCCTTCCCTCGGAGTAAAAACTGATGCTATCCCAGGGCGACTAAATCAAACCTCTTTTATTTCCGCCCACCCAGGCATTTACTATGGGCAATGTTCTGAAATTTGCGGAGCTAACCACAGCTTCATGCCAATTGTAGTTGAATCTTTACCAGTCTGAAGTTTTCTAAACTGAGTAAATTATAATCAAACTATCTCATTAAGAAGCTGTAGGTTAGCAGCAGCCTTTTGAGCTGAAGACAGGTGACTCCGACCACCCTTAGTGAATGCCCCAATTAAACCCAACCCCCTGACTTTTCTACTTTATTACAACATGATTAATTTTTTTATGCTTAATTACCTTTAAAACTTATTATCACCTTAATATAAATAAACCCCAAAACTAAAAAAACAGAAGCTAGTCCCCTTAAATGATATTGACCATGACAATAGATCTTTTTAGCCAGTTTGCCTCCGTAACCTTATTAGGAGTCCCTTTAATTATTCTAGCTATATTAACCCCATGACTACTATTCCCCACCCCCACAGGGAGTTTAATTAATAACCGCCTCCTATCCGCTCAAACTAAATTAATTACTGTATTCACCAAACAAATTTTTTCCCCTCTAAGTCCCCAAGGCTACAAGGCGGCCCTCTTGTTGGTATCGCTCATAATTTTTCTCTTGGGAATAAACTTAATAGGCCTTATACCATACACATTTACACCAACTACGCAGCTATCAATAAACTTAGGGTTAGCCGTACCTTTATGACTCAGCACAGTATTAATTGGTCTTCGAAATCAACCTTCACATTCACTAGCCCATCTCTTGCCAGAAGGGGCCCCCACCCCACTTATCCCTGTTCTTATTATTATTGAATCAGTCAGCTTATTAATCCGCCCCTTAGCCCTTGGAGTACGACTCACAGCAAAAATCTAACAGCCGACACCTTCTCATTCACTTAGTGTCATCAGCCGTATTAGCAATCAGCTCGGTTTCTTATCTAGCCGCACTAGCAACTTTTCTTGTTCTTATTCTTCTAACTATCCTAGAGTTTGCAGTAGCAGTAATCCAAGCCTACGTTTTTGTCTTACTACTGACCCTATACTTGCAAGAAAACACGTATGGCCCACCAAGCACATGCTTATCACATAGTAAACCCTAGCCCATGACCGTTATCAGGGGCCGCAGCAGCTTTTTTATTAACATCAGGCCTCGCCGCATGATTCCACTTTAACATCACTGTAATTCTCTACGCAGGCCTTGTTTTGATATTATTGACTATATTACAATGATGACGAGACATAGTCCGAGAGGGGACCTTCCAAGGACACCACACCCAACCCGTACAAAAAGGATTACGGTATGGTATAATTTTATTTATCACATCTGAAGTATTCTTTTTGCCGGATTTTTTTGAGCTTTCTATAATGCCAGCTTAGCCCCTACTCCAAGTACTGGGGAATGTTGACCCCCAACAGGAATTGTGCCCTTTAACCCAATTGAAATTCCCTTACTTAACACTGCAGTACTCCTAGCCTCTGGGGTTTCTGTAACATGGGCCCATCACAGCATCATGCAAACTAATCGAAAAGGGGCTTATCAAGGCCTTGCTGTAACAATTGCCCTCGGACTCTACTTCACAGCCTTACAAGCTATCGAATACTATGAGGCCCCCTTTACCATCGCCGACGGTATTTACGGTACAACTTTCTTTGTTGCCACCGGATTCCATGGCCTGCATGTTATTATTGGCTCAATATTTTTGCTTACATGTTTTTCACGACAACTATTCTTCCATTTCACCACAAAACATCACTTTGGCTTTGAAGCTGCCGCATGGTATTGACATTTTGTGGATGTAGTCTGACTATTCTTATACGTCTCAATCTACTGATGAGGCTCATATTTTCTTAGTATAGTAGTACAAATGATTTCCAATCATTCGGCCTCGGTTAAACCCCGAGAGAAAATAATGCTTGCATACTCTATTGTAGCTTTAACCATTTCTTTTCTATTAGTCGTTATTGCTTTCTGACTACCTTTAACTGCACCTGACACAGAAAAGCTGTCCCCGTACGAATGTGGATTTGACCCCCTAGGATCAGCCCGTCTTCCATACTCTATGCGATTTTTTCTTGTCGCAATTTTTTTCCTTCTATTTGACCTAGAAATCGCATTGCTCCTTCCTGCCCCATGGGCCATCCAACTGCCAACCCCAACCGTATCTATTGCATGAGCTTCTGTTATTATTATTTTACTGACTATCGGCTTTGCTTATGAATGAACTCAAGGGGCCCTAGAGTGAGCTGAATGCAGAGCTAGTCCAAGTAAGACAATTGATTTCGGCTCAATTAATTATGGTGAAACCCCATAGCTCTCCTATGAACATTCTCTTAGTATTAATATTTTTTATTATCTTTTTATGGGATTTTCTTTCCACCGCACCCATTTACTCTCAACTCTTCTATGCCTGGAAGGAATAATACTTGTTATCTTTATCGGCCTAAGTTTATG